GTTCATTAACAATGCCAGTAATTTGCTTAACAATGGTAATAAAAAAGGTTGTAAAACTGAGTGTGACTCACTTAACAACCGCCTTGCTTAGCAATGGAAATTCTGGTCCCACTTGTGGCAGTAAATGAAGGACTACTTGTATATTGATTTAGTACGATAGTAAACAAGATTATAACACTAGCTGTTACCGAGTCTATGATAGGCCTCAGTAATATGTCCAATTCTCTTACCTATAGCTAAATGTCACATATCTAAGATCATCATTTTGAGTGAGACGGTTTTAGTGAAAAAGATGCTTCATCCATTTAAGGTAAAGATTTTCCAAAAGGGAAAGAAAAGAAGTCCAACCAGAAAGGCACTAGTCCCTGTTTACAGTAAATTTTATTTGCTTGGGCAGACCGAGAAAATAATTACCAAAGCTATTCTAGTCATTAAAGTCAAAGGAAGCACTAGTTGAATTATTGTCAATTACAGCTGAAGGTTACAAAACTGATTAGCATGTGCACTGCTTTGAGGAAGGGAAAATTATGCACATACTGACAGTTGACAAATTTCTTCCACTTCTTAAAGCGCATTGTAGGAGGAGAAGAGTGTTAGTCTTTGGGGGCAAAAAAAAAAAAAATCAGTCGGCAAAAAAAAATTAGTCTGGTGGCATGTTTTTCAACTAACAAATTTCGTTGAAAGAGCAAACTTTCAGGAACTGCACCAGATGAAGGTATCTGATGATGTGAGTTGCGGCTTATGAAAGCTTATGACTTTTAATACAGTTTGATAGTCGGAAAAGATTCTATCAGACTCCAAATTTTTCTCCATAATTACATACACTCTTATTCACTAAGACGAAGGCAAGATCACAGTCTGATGAGTTGTCTAGTTGTTAGTTGACTAAGACAGGGGTGGGTTCTACTTACCTTTACTACCGGTTTGCAGCGGGGCTGCGCATGTGCTCTTGCTTTGCTCACGAGTGCGCTCTTCTATGCAAGCGCAGTTTTGATAACGTCAGTCAGTGGGCGGAGCCTCCCGCCAGTTTTACTATCGGTTCTATAGAACCGGTGAGAACCAGGGGCAACCCACCACTAGACTAAGAGCTAAGTAATGACTGAAGATGTAACTAATGCTGTGGTGGGTTTCAAAATTTTTTACTACCGGTTCTGTGGGTGTGGCTTGGTGGGTGTGGCATGGCTTGGTGGGTGTGGCAGGGGAAGGATACTGTAAAATCTCCATTCCCACTCCACTCCAGGGGAAGGATACTGTAAAATCTCCATTCCCTCCGTACTGCAGGGGAAGGATACTGCAAAATCCCCATTCTCTCCCGATCATCTGGGACTTGGTAGGCAGACAATAGATGGGGGCGGGGCCAGTCAGAGGTGGTATTTACCAGTTCTCTGAACTACTCAAAATTTCTGCTACCGGTTCTCCAGAACCTGTCAGAACCTGCTGGATTTCACCCCTGGAGCAGAGGTCTTCAAACTTGGCAGCTTTAAGACTTGTGGACTTCAACTCCAGAATTCTCCAGCCAGCTATGTTAGCTGGAGAATTCTGGGAGTTGAAGTCCACAAGTCTTAAAGCTGCCAAGTTTGAAGATCTCTGACTTAGCGAATGGGTAGATATTCACTTTGGACTTTATTGACTTACTGTTTGATGAGTCATATTACTCATATCTCTCACCGTCATCAAAAGCATACTCCAAAAATAGGACTCACTGTCACATTGAAAAAGCACATTATGACACATACAAAACAGCAGGGAAAAAGGAAAGCATATTTCAGTGAAAGTCATCCTGTGCAGTCCTGTATCGAGGTGCCCTTTCTGAATACTGAGATTTCAACGTGAAGCACCTTCTAAATCACTACGAAGGGTTTTGCCCCAGTGAGCCATCTATAAAGTCATGTGACTGAGACTAAAGCAGGTCAAAAGACTTGTTGCCCACCGCAGCAACTTCAACATAACCGAGATGTTTAGGCCAATCCCAAGGGAGGGTCACTGTAGCCATCAATCATATCAACACGGATATAAATGTAATTAAGTGCTACTGCAATGTCATCAGGTTTAGTACAGATCCCTGATTGATTGGGATCCCTCAGTGAAGAGACTGTTTTAGGGAAGACGAAAAGGTTGCTAATGAAAAAAAAAATGCAAAAGGGAGTCGAAGAAAAATGGTGGTCATCCCTTTTCTCTCGAAATGGCACTATTTATAATAAAATCAGATTCTATTCATAAGCATAAGACGAGCCCTCATTGGATCCGATCGGAGGGCTCTGTAGTCCAGCCTTCTGTTCCTACAATGATCAATGAAATGCCTTTCAGAAATTCATAAAAAAGAGCTTTCTACTTTTTCTCCAGAAGTTGATATTCAGAGGTGGTAGGTTAATATATGAGAGACAATTTGTTAGCAGTTAAAATACCAGGCTAGAAACTAGGAGACCCTGAGTTCTAGTCCCAGCTTAGGCAGGAAGTCAGCAGGATGACTTTGAGTCAATCTGGGACATGCTAGCAGTGTTCCCATATCTCAGGGGCTGCCACAAAGAAGAGGGAGTCAAGCTATTCTCGAAAGCACCTGAAGGCAGAACAAGAAGCAATGGGTGGAAACTAATCAAGGAGAGAAGCAACCTAGAACTAAGGAGAAATTTCAGTTAGAACAATTGATCAGTGGAACAACTTGCCTCCAGAAGTTGTAAATGCTCCAACACTGGAAGTTTTAAAGAAGATAATGGATAACCATTTGTTTGAAGTGGTGTAAGGTTTTTCTTCCTAATGCAGGGTTGGACTAGAAGACCTTCAAGGTCCCTTCCAACTCTGTTATCCTGTTATTCTTACAACCCTGGAATTCTTTTTGGGATAAGCCAAGATACAACATCACAGCAGCACTGAAGGAGGTAAAAGGTCACAAGATTGGCTTCTTAACAATGATACCCAAGCAGCTCTATCCTTAAATGGTATCCAGTGGACTGAACACTATTTCATTGATTTATTGACTAACTATGTATCCTCAAGTCAATGTCAATGCTCAGTGATCCCATAGATGGATTATCTCCAGGAGAATGCTGCTTAGTTCATATGGTCACAAAATAGGGGGAAAACATTATGCTGGCTGTATAAGTAATGCCATTCTGGGAGTAGAATAACAATTAAAGAAAGATTAAGGAAAACTCGTGGATAGGTGTGTGTACAAAATATATATCAGCGACTTTGCTCTCATGAACTTTAAATAGTTGTTCATACTATTCTTCCAAAGAATACTGTCTCTTTATATAGAAGTCACCAATATAAAGGCAATCTGTTATACTGCAAAACCTGGTCCTTGTCAGTGGGCTATGCAATTAAAATCCCATTTTGAAGACAGATATGGCATAAAGCCACTAAAGGAGAAAGTCTGTTTTGCCAAAATATGTCTGGTGGCTTCATGCCTTCTGCTTCCTAGTGTGTGAATGACACACACACACACACACACACACACACACACACACACACACACACACACACACACTGAGAGAGAAAGAGAGCGAGTGGAGAGAAGAAAATACAGATGTCTTCTGCTTCTGTAGCTGGCTGCTGCTGATAAAGATATTAGAAGTAATTCTAGAAGCCATGTTTTCTATGCCTTTCTTCTTTTGCTAATTTGCTATTTTGTGCCTGCAGACGGTCTGCCAGGAATTGTCATAGCCTGTATAATGCTATAGGAATCTAAGGCTAGTTGGATGCTTTCATTTTCTAAAACAGTGTTTCTCAACCTTAGCGACTTGAAGACTTCAACTCCCAGAATTCCCCAGCTGGGGGAATTCTGGGAGTTGAAGTCCATCCCTCTTCAAGTCGCCAAGGTTGAGAAACACTGTTCTAAATAACATTTTGAACTTAGCTGATGGCAGACTAACAGCATAAGCAGAAGTGGGTGTGTAGCAAATTCTTACTAGTTCATTTGTTTCCTGAGTGGATAGAACCAGAAGTACCTCGTTAAAAAAAAACCTACTTTGCTCAAAAGTAAACAATGCATGTTTCCTTAAAATTGAGTAAACAGCACTGGGAAATCATAGAAACGAGACAGGCCTGAAGAAATCGAGAAAGGCTATTTTGCCAAATGATTTTTCCCTCCTTGCCTCAACAATCAGTAAGGTAATTAGAGAATCTCTGGAGTCTGAAGGAATGGCTTTTCGTTTTGCTTCAGTACATGGCCAATAGTATTTGAAAATACCTAATAAGCCATGCGTGATCAGGGATGGACTAACTGTTTTTGTAAGCAGAACTTTATCCACTAAACCAAGAAATATCTTATACTTTAAATCTTGTTCAACTGGATATAAAACTTATTGTGAGATCAAGAATAGCGATCATTGGAGACCCAATGAGGTTGCCCAGCTCTTGCTTGTTCGAGCTTTTGTTGATTTGGATTGAAGACTCAATCTAGATCAATCTAGATTTTTCAAAGCCACCTGATTGGGTCTTTGGATCAAGACATGATTGAGTTTCAAAACTGTCTTCCCAACTGGCTGACTGCTTAATCTGTTCTTCACCCACAGCCAAGACCAGCATACTTCTACATATTTCCTGAATCACGGAATGAGCTTTGCCAGTTGGGAAGACTATGCTGGCAGAGTTTGGTTTTCTTTCCCCATGAGACTCAAAGTGATACTCAACAATTAATTTGTGGGCTACGGTCCCTGAGTATGTAACAAGGTCAAAGGCTATTCTGCCATACTTGATTCAACACGTTTATTCTGTGTTTACATGGAAGCAAAATCACCTCAGAAACAGCCCAGAAACATCCACCAAGTTTTGGAATACTGAATATTAAATATAATCCCAATCTCTCTCTCTCTCTCTCTCTCTCTCTCTCTCTCTCTCTCTCTATCTATCTATCTATCTATCTATCTATATCTCACTATCTTCAGATCACTGGAATATTTGAAGACAAATTGTCACATTGAAAGGATTTGCCTTTGGATTTGTTATATTTTGTAGCATCTGCCATCAAATGCTCCCACAAATAAGTTACAAACACAATGCACTGGTGCCAGTGGGGGCACTCCATGTATTTATGTATTTCATTGGTTTTACATTTATATTCTGCATTTTTCATTTTTAAATACAGCCAAAACTTCATTTGTATATGTGAAAGTTCCCTTCCTCTGTGATGTAAATTTTCTACAGATATACATTAAGATAGTAGTTCCAGCTAGATGTATGATTTTGTGGTTTTATCCTAAGTGCTGCACGGCAACTTTGTTTGAGGTTCAATTCCTCTTTTGAGTCTCTGCTTTGAAACTTTTATCAATAATATTCTTATTCATTTTCCTCATTTCTGAAAAGGACAATACATTTCTATTAAGATCCATAAAGGAAGCAGCATGTTTGGATTAGAAAAATACTAATGGTCCAGACCAAAAAAAAACAAAAAAACATTACATCCAGAAGTTGCTGATGTCTCGCATGTTTCTTAATTTTAGGCTTCATGAAGCTTTGGATATACTTATGATCTATAACTGTATTTGACTTAAATGGGGAAGGCAAGGAAATTAAGTTGAGTTTTAATGGAGGAAAATCAACTCCAGGTTTTTAAAAATCAGCATAAAGTTCTGAGAAAGCCATAAAGCTGTTGAAACACAGAAAGGTTTCTTCTCAGATGGTGAAACAAAGTACTTTTTTGTCCATCCATTCTATTCCCCAAGCTAACAAGTTGGATATTTAAAGTGTTTGAAATATCCTTCTTATTTCTTAGCATCATTAATGTACATAAAGCTTTCCCTAAGCAATAATTAAGAACAGCTTATTCTCTATAATTTGGAAGGGCTAGAAACAATAAAAAGAGGGGAAACCAGACTAACAAATAACATGGGATGCATTTGGTGAAATGCAACTGCAGACAGCTAGGGATGTATAGGGAATTAAGCCAAAGACATTATTGAGAAGATGATGTTTAGAGTAGAATTTGTGAGGAAATAAGTTGTTTCAGGAAGTCTTGCTTTACAGCAGGGGTGCCAAACTGGAGGCCCGCAGGCTGGATGCATCACGCACAGGCCACGCCCATCCTGACTCTGCAAAGGCAAAAAAAAAATCTCATGATACATCACATGACACGACTGAGATTGACACCAGTGCTTTACACGTAGCCCTTGATTTATGACCATAATTGAGCTCAAATTATGGTCGTAAGTAAAATCATTTGTTAAGTGGATCACTACAGAACTGTGCCCAATTTTATGACATTTTTCACAGCAGTTGGTAAGTGAATCACTGCTATTATAAATTTCATAAGTTGTGATCATAGGACTGTGGGCTACTGAAAATGTCCATAAATGCAAGCCAAAATGCCAAAATGCCAAAATACCATCACGTAGGGGAGAGGAAGTTGTTCAAAATACAGGGAAGTACCTGAGGATTGGAAAAGGACTGATGTGATTCCCATCTTCAAGAAAGAAAGAAAAAAAACAGACCCAGGAAACTACAGACCAATCAACGTAACATCAATATCTGGGAAGATCCTGGAAAAGATGATGATGATGATGATGATGATGATGATCATCATCATCATCATCATCATGATTAGAACCAAAGTACAGAAAAATTGCTGCAGGCTGTGCAAACGAAGAACATTATAAAAACAACAGAAACAAAGGCAGAATATAAGGAAAAACAGTTGGATGACAGATTAAATAGATGGAAAACCAAAGTTTTGCATGGACAGCACTTGAAAAACATTGAAGGAAAATGTGATGACAACTTTACATGGGCCTGGTTTAAGATAGGAACCATCAAGAAAGAAACGGAAGGTTTAATACTGGCTGCTCAAGAACAAGCACTACAAACTAATGCCATGAAAGCAAAGATACAAAAATCCACCGACAATCCAAACTGCTGACTTTGCAACAACAAAGTTGAAACTGTTTCACATTTAATATGTGAATGCAGCAAAATCGCACCAACTGGTTACAAAGCTAGACATGGCCGAGTTGCTAAATTGATCCACTGGTCATTATGTAAAAAATACAACTTACCTGTATCCAAAATGTCATGGGAACATAAAGTGGAAAAAGTTATAGAAAATGAGATGGTGAAGATCTTGTGGGACTTTCAAATACAGAGGGATCGTCATTTGGAACACAACACGCCAGATATCACAGTTGTCAAAAACCGAAACATACAATTTATTGACATTGCGTTACCAGGAGATGCTAGAGTCGAAGAAAAAGAACTGGAAAAAATCATGAAATATAGTGACCTGGCCATCGAAACTACTTGATTATGGATGAAACATGTAACAGTGATACCCTTTGTCATTGGGGCACTTGGTACCATGTCCAAGAATTTTATAAGATACATCAACAAATTGCAGCTTCCTGCAATAACACCAGCGGAACTGCAAAACACTACGCTACTTGGAACATTGTATATCTTAAGAAGGTACTCGGTTGATACCTAGGATGCTGACAGCAATCCTTATCAACCATTAGCACCAGTCAATGGTATTTGTGATGCATTTTTAAATGTTCAGTTGACTGAGTTTCATGTTTAATGAATAAAGTAAATAATTATAATAATAATAATTTAAAAAAACAGATCTGAGAACACCTAGAAACAAATAAAGTTATAACTAGTAACCAGGTTTGTTAAAAACAAGTCATGCCAAACCAATTTTATTTCATTCTCATTTCATTATTTCATAGCATGCCATGCCATGCTATTCAACTTCATTTCCAGGTTGAATTAGTAGTCCATCAAAATGCTGTGGATATAGTATACTTAGATTTCAGTAAGGCATTCCACAAAATAGAGAACAACTTACTTCTTGGCAAACTAGAAAAATATGGAATAGACAACATCACCACTAAATGGATTTGCAGCTGGCTGACAAATCATACTTAACTAGTAATCCTTAATGGTACTACATTTACATGGAGGGAAGGAAGCAGTAGGGGTACCACAAGGTTCCCTCTCAGGCCCAGGACTCTTCAATAATTTCATAAATGACTTATGGGCCCTATTCAACAAAATGAATTTTAATGTGGCAAAAAGCAAGCTTTTATATTTAGGCAGAATAAACTAAAGATATAAGTACAGATTAAATGAGACCTGGCTCAAAACAGTAACTGTGAGAGGGACCTTGGCGTCATAGTGGATGATCACTTGAATATGAGCCAGCAGTGTGGGGCAGAGGCCAAAAAAGCTAATACAATCCTGGGTTGTATAAACAGAAGCATAGAATCAAAATCACATGAAGTATTAGTACTGCTTTATAAAACCTTAGTAAGTCCATACCTGGAATACTGAAACCAATTTTGGTCACCACACTATAAAAAAGATGCTGAGAACTTTGGAAAAAGTTCAGAAAAGAGGAACTAAGATGATCAAAGACCTGGAGACTAAAACATATGAAAAATGGTTGTAGGATTTGGGTTTGGCTAGTCTAGAGAAAAGAAGAACTAGAAGTGACATGATAGCAGTATTCCAATATTTGAGGGGCTGCCATAAAGAAGAGGGGGTCAAATTATTCTCCAAAGCACCAGAGGGCAGGACAAGAAACAATGGTTGGAAACTAATCAAGGAGAGAAGCAATCTGGAATTAAGGAGAAACTTCTTAACAGAACAATTAACCAGTGGAACAGCTTGACTTCAGACATCATGGGCGCTTCATCACTGGTGGTTTTTTAAGAAGAAACAGCCACTTGTCTGAAATGGTATAGGGTCTCCTGCTTGAACAGAGGGCTGGACTAGAAGACCTCCAAGGTCCCTTCCAGCTACCTTAAGCTAAGCTACCTTCCTATGCTATGCTATGCTATGCTATGCTATGCTATGCTATGCTATGCCATGCCATGCCATGCCATGCCATGCCATGCCATGCCATGCCATGCCATGCTATTCAACTTCAATTCCAGGTTGTAAATAGCCCTGGAGAGTTCCATTGTAACTTTAAACTAAGCTACCAGATATAAGTCAAGGACTATCTATAGTCTGTAGCTTCTTCAAAACTGATAAAATAATTTACATATATACATATGTATATGTACATATGTGTTTGAACTCAAAGTATTAAAAAATCTAGGTATTTTCAGAATCCAGGGAAGCTTGAGAGAAATGGTTATATGGATGAATTAAATCCAATTTAATATTCTGAATCAAGACCTAATGAGAAAGAAGGGCAGAAAGACAATTGGGAGCAAGTTACTGAGTGTTCGAAATAAGGGGATGAGATTTATTTATTTATTTATTTTATTTGTTCAACTTGTATACCGCCTTTCTCTGAAGACTCAAGGCGGCTTACAATGCATTTAAAAACCATATATAAAACATTAAAAGTTAAACCATTAAAAACGATTTCTTTAGCTCGGTAAAAGTCTTCCACCAAATTATTTTCTAAATGCATTCTCATCTGTTCCTCCTTTAATGAAATATAATGTTAAGTTTTTGACAGAGCTTTCAATTAATAAAAGAAGGAAGATAGGAAAAAGAAGGAAGGAAAGGGATCAAAAATACTTTTAAACAGTTATTGATTACAAGCAAGATCTTCTCTTCAGCATATTGATATTGATCCAAATGTTCTCCTGAAACTAGTAATTTAAGCATATAGAATTTTTTAAAATTGAAAACATAAAATCTGTTGTTTATTTTCTTGAGTCAGGAAAGGGGAATGTCTGTGCTTCTGCATATTCTATAATAAACTTACTTCCAAGCAAAGGAACATCATTGGAATAGTAAAATCCATAAAAGTCATTCATGATGTCTACTATAAAGTATTACAAATTCTACCTGCCTACCCACTTCAGAATTTTATGTATCCCTCATGAGCAGTCTTTTGGAAGGATGATCTAAAGTAGGCGATGATTTTGTCGACTGCAGGAAGCAAAAATATTTCTGATTTTAGGCATGCATTCTTGTTAACTTCAGTGAAACAATAGTTCGTGTGCTAACTGGAAAATAAATTAAATAAGTTCCCAATGTTATTATATTTTCAAAGAGTTTAATTTCTAGGCCTCATTTTGAATGTTTATTCATACAACAACTACCAAAAATTTCATGAAAGAGAACTTCTTTTGTTGAGAGACAGAAGAATATCCCTTCCAATAATCATACCATAATCCTGGTTAGACTTAGAATATGGAAAACCAACATAGATTTCTATTCAGTACAGGTTAATCCATCATGAGCCAAGGAGCCAATACCGTATTTTTGGGAGTATAAGACGCATTGTAGTATAAGGCGTAGTTTTTGGAGAGGAAAATAAGAAAAAAGCCTCCTGGAATAGCCCCAATCAGCTGTTCTCAGAGGTGAATTTTAGCAGCAGGTTCCTTGGTTGTGAGCTCTGTTCCTTTGTTGTTGTTTTTGTGTGTGTGTATGTGTGTGGTGTTTTGTTTTTTTTTTTTGCTTTTTTTCCCTGCCTCTGAAAGCCTCCGAAACAGAGCTTCAGAAAAAAAAGCCTCTGAAACTCTGTTTGGGGGCTTCTTTTCTGAAGCTCTGTTTGGGGGCTTCTTTTCTGAAGCTTCGTTTCTGATGCTTTTTTTCATCCTCTGAAACCTCAGTTTGAGAGGCTGGGTGGGGCTACATTCGGAGCATAAGACGCACCCAGATTTTCACCCTCTTTTTTGGGGGGAAAAAGGTGCATCTTATACTCTGAAAAATACGGTAGGTTGGCAGAGAATTTGGTGGTCAGTGGTATACAGAGTCTAAGAATAACAACAAGATATAATTGTCAATAAGAACTTTGCATCTCTCTCAACATCAGGAGGAGGAGGAGGATAAAAAAGTTTGGATAGTGGAAGTTGCAGTGCTTGGAAGCAGCAGAAGAGAAGTGAAAGAAACTGGAGAAGATAACAAAACACAATTACCTGCAAATAGAAGTAGAAACAACTGTGACAAAAGAAAGCAAAGATAATACCAATTGTAATAGCTGCCTTCTGTGCAATCCCAAAATAACTGGAGCACCACTTCAACACCATTAGCACTGACAAAATCACCATAGGTCAATTCCAAAAGGCAGCTTTACTTAGAGCATCTTACATTCTGCAATAATACCTTTAACACCATCAAACAAGAATATTTGCTTATCTCAGATCCTTGGGAAGACTTGATAGGAGGATTGAAAATGCCAAGTCCAGTTTAAACTTCTGAATGACTGTGTGATGGACGAACTACAACAACTACAAATTTACCTATCTTCCTCTATTCAAAACTCTGCAAAAATGCCAGTTGTTTGTGAGTGAGATGTTTGGAAGAAAATATACATTTTCAGAAGTCTGCATAGGAAAAAAAGTACATATTAGGATGCCTGCATTAATAAAAAATCCCCTTTCTTATGCAGGATGAATTTACATCAGGAAAATAGTATACTTTCAAGCCAGCAAGGTTTTTTTTTGTGGGTGTGTGTGGGATAGACAATGAGATTCTGATTTTCTCTGGTAGGCATAGAACTGAAATTAATTCGAGACTAGGAAATATTTATCTCCTCTATATTCGTTTGTCTTT